TTTTATTGTCATTTACAACGCAAGGTGGTGGAATCAAATTTATTTATAGTTCCCTTTATGCTACTTTAAAAAATTAATTATTACATTTAATTAATTAATTAATGAGTCATGAAAAAAAACCTCACAGCCTGAGGGAAGAAGCTGTCTTTATGTCTGGTAACTTCTGTACCTTTTCCCAGAGTGCAGCAGGGTGAACTGGCTGTGGCAGTCACCTCATCTCACCAATATCACTGATGCTAGGTAGCTGAGTACCAATGATCTTCTGGGCAGTTTTAATCATCCCTGCAGAGTCCTCCTGGGCTGTGTACATCCCATGTTGCCAGTTTATGATTTTTCCAGTCAGGATGCTTTCTATTGCTCCTCTGTAAAAGTTAACAAGAACTTAACACGGGATTTTTGCTTTCTTACGTTTCCTTAAGAAATACGGTCATTTCTGTGCTTTATTTAACTAGTGTAGAAGAAATGTGAGATGACCATGACGGGTTCAGCACATACACCTTTCAGCTGTATTCAACGTCTTTTGTTTTCTGAAGAAATGTTTAGAAATAATATCACTGGGCTGATTCCTGTTGTGTTTGAGAACTGATCAGCTCACCTCTGAAATACATGATTGAATTTGTGCTGGGATTATGTCAGATTTATCAGATAGGATTTTACTAATCCTGTTTTGTTGTTTTATAGTTGGCTAAATTGTAAACATGTAGAAGTTGAAAAAACTAAAAATAATAAGGAAGCAGCTGCATCTCTTTTTAGTATAATCTAGTTGTGTCTACTAAGTTATAATGAAAACTGTACTGAAACAAAACATCTTTAGTCCTGTCAGTGTCAACTCATGATAACTTAAAAGTTTTAGAGTAGACACATTTAAGAAGTTAAGCTGAGTCAGCAGTTTAGGAATATTCAATCAAGAATTGTTGATTTATTTTTCACTAGTAGAGCAGTCTCAAGTCCAATTCCTCCATATAGACCGTACTTTAAAAAGGCAGTGGATCAAGGATAGCCATTATGTGGCTGGTATGTTTTACAAAAGTAGGTTGTGGGCAGGGGTTAAATTTATCTTCATCGTGGTTTACATTGTTGATTTTTGAGTTTTGATCAGACACGTGTATAAAAGGACACAAACTTCCTTCGCAGCTTTACTCAAATTAGTAAAAAGAAGGCTTTATGGAGAATTTT